CTGCAGCTGGAGAAGCATTCCCTGCAGCTGGAGAAGCCCCCCCTGCAGCTGAGGGCTGGCCTGGGCAGGGTCTCGGGGCTGCGGGGGTCCCGGCCCGTGCCCCCCATCCCGCGCCTGCCCCGGGAGGGCAGCGAGGGCGCGGAGCTGCAGCTGGAGCCTGAGGAGGTGGACCAGGAAGAGGTGGGTGAAATGGGATAGAGGCACTTTTAACAGCAGTGCCTGGGAGAAATGAGGCTCACTGTTCAAAATTGGTGTTTTATAAAAGTTTAATGAGGGAAAAAAGGGACAGGATCCAGTGCTGGTGGTCAAAAGCACCCCGTTAGCTTCAAACAATTTCCTTATTTTACTTATATTACTTTTCATTACATTGGTTAAATGCATATTAATGAGGGTTATACATACTCAAACATTCCTGTGGGTTGCATGTTCTGGGAATCCTTTTGCTTGGTTTTAACCTTTGCCTTGTCTGCATGCCATCCTGTGGATTAAATCAATACATTTTATTTCTTCTTGAGGCTCCATTCTGATGTTTTGACACTTCCTGATAACTGGAGAGTCAGCAGTAAATTTTTCTCTTGGTGTCCTGGATCCTGTCATTATCTTCTCATTCAGATAAGACAGTCCACAAATACATTGAATCAATGTAGCTATTTCACACCATTATCTGAGTTAGTTACACAAATAAAAGTATTTAGTACTACATAGTTTCTATTTTAATATGATGCAAAGGTCTAAGCTATAATATTTATATTATATATATTTATATATTATACCTTACAGATATTTATATTATTTTTATAATTTATATTATATAATTATACATTATAAATAATTTAATATATAATTATATATTATATAATTATATATTAAATATATATTTGTATTATTTATATTTATACTAATATATTTATGTATTGTATGTATTTCTGTATTAGTACTATAATATATAGTAAATATATGTATTTATGTATTTATATATTAATTTAAATATAGAAATATATAAATATTTATACATTTAATATTTATATATAATATAAAAATATAAATATATAATTTTATATTTATATAAAATATATATTTATATATAAGTATATAGTAAATAGATAGTATTATATTTATATATTACATATTATATATAATTATATAAATATATTTTAATATATTATAGTATATATAATATTATAATATTTTTCTCACACTACCATTTGTATAAGCTACACAGTGCATACAAAGGCTGACAGATTAAACCATATCAAAAGGCAATTAAAAGGGATTACAAATTCTACTCTATCAGAGTCTTGGTGATCAATAATAACTGGCAAAGGCCAATACATAAATGCAAAGCCAATAACTCTACTGCCATTTATAACAATCCCCATCCCTGGAAGTGCCAGGGCTGGATGGGCTTTGGAGCACCCTGAGGTGCTGGAAGATGTCCCTGCCCATGGAACAAGGTGAACTTCAAGGTTCCTTCCATCCCCAGTCAGTCTGGAATTCTCTGATTTCCTGGCTTTGCCTTTCTGCCTGCCCCTTCCATCCTCTGGTTCCCACTGAAAGGAGCCTGGGGCGTTAAACAGAGGGAGAATTTCTGACATGGGAAATATTCAGCCAAAAGAGGGGAGAATGCTGCAGTGTAAAACTTCAGTAATTACAGCTTTTCCTGCTCGTTTGAGTAGGATCTCTGCTTGCTGGGCACTGATTGCATGATTTAGAGGAGGTTTAGATGGGATGTTGGGAATTGGGAATTGCTGGCTGGGCTGGAATTGCCAGAGCAGCTGTGGCTGCCCCTGGATCCCTGGCAGTGCCCAAGGCCAGGATGGACGTTGGGGCTGGACATTGGGGCTGGACATTGGGGCTGGACATTGGGGCTGGACATTGGGGCTGGACATTGGGACAGTGGGAGGTGTCTCTGCCATGGCAGGGCTGGGATGGGATGATCCTTAAGGTCCTTTCCAAGCCATTCCATGGTTCTGCTTCTAGGATGTGCAGATTTGCTGGGATAAGCCTGAGGTCCTGCTGTGTGTGCTGGCAGGCATCAAACCCTTCCTTTAATCCTCTAAAAAGCACGGAGCAGCTTTTGTGTTTTAGCAGGAATGTGTGCCCTGCTCGGGAAAGGGGAGCTGGGGTACAGCGCTGCTGTCAGGTTGGGTTTGCTCACAGGATAATTATTCTTGTGAATCATTATAATCCCACAAACACCGTGTGAGTGGTGATCACACTGCTCTGTGCACCCCACGGGCTGAGCTGAACACTCCAAAACAGATTTTATATTCCTGAAAGCAGCTTTTCCCTGGGCACTGAGTGCTCCCTGTCCTTTTTCCCCGCTGAATTCCAGATGCAGAATTCCCTGCGCTCCCTGCGGAACAGCGCAGCCAAGAAGAGGGCAAAGCTGAGCAGCAGCATCGCCGACCTGGAGAGCCCCGACTCGGGGGTGAAACTGGAATTTTCCGGGGACTGCTCCTCCCAGGGCTCCTCCCCCGGAGCCGCTTCCACCGGCGAGAGCGGAATTTCCAGCCAGGAATCGCCGGGCTCCCCCGTGGGCACGCTGCCCCCCAGGAGGAGAGTGATGTGAGTGTCACCTGAGCCTGGAGAGCCCCTCACAGCCTCACTTAAACCAGGCACTCGCTGGTACATGTTTTATATAGGCTTGCCTGATTTCTCTGTGTGAATTGTATTCTTCTCTAAAAATACAAGAGCTGCTTAATCACTTTATTCTATTTTTTTTTTTTTTTCTGCTTTCTAACATGAAGCTGCAGAAGGCCAGGGCAGGGAGGCAGTGCCAGGGACAGTAAATATTTGATAAAGACTTTCCCTGGCACAGCAGGAACGTGACCAGAGTGAACAGGGGAGTGAGAAGGACAAGAGAGAAGAGGAAGGATAAGGTCGGGTTATTACAGCCTGGAAATTGAATTGGGTTTGTTGAGAAGAGGAAGACAATGCAGATGTTTCTTATTGTGAATCAAGAGCTGGTTCCATTTATTCCTGAGAGATAATTGTGAATTTAAAATGCCTTCCCAGAGCTCTTCTAAATAGAAATTGGGTGGTGACAAATGCTCTGATTGTAAAGGGCAACAACCCAGGTGGTTATGAGCAGTATAAACTATTGTTTAATGAGATAAAAAGAGTTTTGAGGAATTTTGAAAATTCTCCAGTCCAAAATCTCCTTTTCTGCTCTCAGAGCCCACGATGAAGCTCTTTGTAGCTCTGAAGGTATTTTTGTGTGTACCAAAATCATCTTTTATAGACTGACAGAATCCCAGAGTGGTTTGTGTTGGAAGGGACCTGAAATATCACCAAATTCCAGCCCTGCCATGAGCAGGGAACCTTCCTTAGAACTGACACAGAACTGCATTAACAGAAAGCAAAACAGGCAACATGAAAGGGTTTGAGGCAGAAGGAGTCTGGAATGATTCACAAACAGAAGGTTTTCAGTTGTGCAGCCCAGAATTAATTTATATTTACATCCCTTCCCCGTGTGCATTACTGCTGAATCACATTTTTTAAAATAATCTTCAAAATCCCACATTCAAATGCTGAAATCCTTCAGAAGTCAAAGCAGCGGAGCCCTGGGTGGGCTGGTTTGGGCTAAGCCATGCTCTGAACATTGCCATGTCCATCATCCAGTGCTTAATATTTTACTGGATCCTCAGTCAGAGGAGTTGTGAACCAGCCAGGAAGGGAGGGGACACGTGGCAGTCACCCTGAGCTGGGAGGAGTGACAGAGTCCATCCCAGGTGAAAGCCTTGGAGCGCTCAGAGAAATGCCAGGGAGTTTTGTGAGCACTGGCACAAACAGGCATTGTCTGTTCCCAAAATCTGTGGCAGGAATGGGGTTTTGGTGTGGCTGCTTTGGGAAGGGTTTGGTTTATCTGCTGATAAACTGCCGTGGGTGATGGGAGCTGGAAACAGGAATTAGGGATGTTCCTGGAGCATGAGCCTTCCCTTGCAGCTTCAAAGAGTCTTTAGTTGTGGGTATTGCACTGGCTCTGGGCTCCATCACCTCTCATATCCAGAGAATCATTTGAAATTTAAAAGAATTGAAAAGTTGTTCTTGTAGATAAGAGCATTTTCCTGGTGAATGTCTCTGGTGGACACTGAGCTGGGGGCAGCTCATCCCTGGAAGGGGCAGGAGGATTTGGTCGCTCTCCTTGGCCAGGTTGGAACCAGCATCCTCAATCCCCAGGCCAAACAATTCCTTACTTTATGGGTGTATCCTGAATTTAGTCCTAGTGTCAGGTTTCTTTAGGGTGTTCTTCATGATGGACCTGCTCATCAAATAATTCCCACTGAATTCTGTTTGTGCTCAGTGGGAATATTTGTGGGAATACTGGAAATATTGCCATGGAGAGACTGAAATCCATTGTTGTTTTTGGCTGGGCTTTGACAGCTGTGGAGAATTGCACCTATAAAATGTGTTTATCTGAACAGGTCAGACACTTTTCCAGCACTTGGCAGCAAATCCCACCCTGCAAAAGTATCTCCAGCAAGGCCCAGAGACGCAGAGGGGGCAGAGCATCACCCCAGCACAGGTGTGTTCCTGTCCATGCTCACCTCAGGGGCCAGAGTGCCCCTTGGTGGGGCTGTTCACGTAGCAAAGGGAACCTCTGGGTGCTCTGGGGCCAAACTGGGATTTGAGGGTGCTCAGGTGAGGAGTTCCAGGCTTGCTCATTTCCTGTTGGAATTGAGGTTAGGTGCTGCTGGAGTGCTCTCCCCTCCCAGGGCAGCACGGGTCCCTGGAACGGGCAGGGAACTGCTGGGTTGGGATTATTTGTGTTTAACCAGTTTTGGTTCTGCTGGGTGGAGGAAAGGCCTTGTCCCCAGTCCCCAGTCCCTCTCCAGCTCTCCTGGAGCCCCTTCAGGCCCTGCAAAGGGCTCTGAGCTCTCCCTGGAGCCTTCCCTTCTCCAGATGAGCATTCCCAGCTCTCCCAGCCTGGCTCCAGGCTTGTGTCAGTGGGATGTGGACATCCTTCACATGGGTATTCAACAGATCCTGTTGGCTTCAGTAACCTGGGAAAAGGGAAAGGGATCAATTCAGACATGGGGCGACATTTTAGGAGGATGAGGCACATCCTAAAGCATAACCAGATTTTCAGGGAGTGCTCTTTGTGCTTTCAGGCCCTGCAGAGTCAGTGCCTGGTTTTGCAGCGAAGAACGATCTGGGGTTCACACCTGAAGACGTCGTTGCTGTTGTTGGTAAAGGTACCACAGACCCAAAATCATCCCCTGTGTGTGTCTGAGTTATGAAATGAGGGAAAACGTGCCTTTATGTAGAGTGTGAAAAGAACAAATAGATCTGCACAATGTTTTAGATTGTTCACAATCCCCAGTTCAGTGGGAATACAAAGAATTACGTTTGAAGGCATTGCGGTTCCTGGATAGACAATTCTGCTCATGGCATCCCTGGAATGAGATGTTTGCTGTCCCTTCCACCCCAAAGCAGTGTGTGACCCCGTGTTCTGCCCTCCAGGTGTTTTTGGGAGCGCTCCTGCCCCAGCTCCCAGCCAGTCCATGCCCTGTGTGGCCAATGGGGACAGCCAGGCTGCCAGGGAGGGAGCAGAGCCAGCCCCAGGGAGAAGCTTCCAGCAGAACAGCACTTCCCATTCCCACTGCCATGCAGGGAATGAAAGAGAGGTAAGCACTGCACAGCCTGGTGCCTTCTCATCCTGGTGGTGTGGGGTGAGTGCAGCCCTGCTCAGTCACACCCGGAGTTTGGGCATGATTGGAACAGCCAAAGCCATCGAGCTGCTGCTCCTGGTTTTCCTTTTGGGGCCACCTGGATGGCAAATGGATGTGCCAGGAGCTTCCCACCATGCTCAAATCCCTGGAGAAGGGCTGCAGGAAGGAGGGGAGCTGGGAAATGCCCTCCCTGACTCCCACAGCACGTGCAGATGTGGAAGGAGGGATTGGCTGTGTTGGATCAGGTCTTGTTTTCCCCAGGGATGAATTAATCCAGCTCCAATTAGAAGTTTTTCTTAAAAGAAAAACTCTTCTTGAATATTTGCCCATAATCTGGTTTCTGAGGAGTGGTGCTGTTTGTTAAATACTATTTACAAATGTAAATGGAGCAAGATTTATCTGAGTGAAGTGTGATACAAAGTCAAAAAACATTGAAATGAAACTCTTTCTGCAAGCCTTTAAAATAACATTTAAAGAATACTAAATCTTGAGGTTAATGATTAACAGTGTCTTAATTTTCTGATTTCCACTGAATATGTGAACCCCTGGCAGGATCAAATTCAAAGCAGTAAATGGATTAAATTTATTAAACTGAGTTTAAATTTAACTGGATTAAAATAATTTGCTGAGTTTTCCTAAGGCACAAAAAGTGTCATAAACACATGAGAGAGAAGGGTCAGATCAGAGAAAATGCTGATTTTCCATGCTGACCTTGTCCAGTATCAGGAACTGGGGAATCACCTCTGGGGTAACTTGTGCATGATTTTTTTTGCAGATAAAAGTGACCTTGTCAAAATCTGCTCAGGAGAAGCTGAGGAGGAAAAGGAAAGAAGACAGAGAACACAACCATAATGAACAGGAAAGCAAAGACTTGGAAGGGAAGGAAGAATTCCCTTGGGAAAGGATTAGACTGAGTATGAGTGAACCAGACAAACTCACAGCAGAAAGTGAGGATGAGGGATTTTCTTAAATGAATATTCCCTGCTCAATGCTGCTGAAATGGAAATTAGGGCTGGTAATACTGGGCTTTAACTTGGTGCTGGTTTTATTGTAGTTTGGGCATTTATTTCTTTCCTAGGGTTTAATCTCTGTGGAGATTTACTGACATCGCCAAGAAATGGATCTTTGTCCTTAGAAAATGTGGCCTTGAACCCTTCCCTGAAAAGAACATCCAGTTTGAAGAGATCAAAGTGTTCATCCTTGCTAGATTCTGGTAAGCTGGGACAGTAAACTCTTAAAATGTTTGGGTAGGTGGAGTGGGACGGTTTCAAAATACAATTTATTTGTGCAGTGGACAGTCCTGAGGTGCTCTGGAAGATCAGAGTACTGTGGGGCTGGAGGGGATTGAATTCCTCACTGGGGATCATTCAACTGCTCATTTTTCATCTGGAATCTGTTAGGGAGATTCATGAGACATCAGAGAGTTTTAGTTTGATCAGGGTGTGAAAGGATACAATGCGTTTTCAGCAAGCTGACTGCCTCCTGTCCCCAAAACCCCTTTTCCGGGTGCATTTTGGCACTGAATTGCCTTTAAAATAAGCAGTAGAAAACTGCTGAGAGCAGAAGCTCCTACTGATGGTGCTCAAAGGTGGCCAGAATTTCTCAGGTGTCTCCTCAAGGTTTATGATGTTATTGGCACACTGTGAATGTGTTTGCACATCAAACAGCCACTGCCTTCGTGTCTGTGCCTCTAAAAAGTGAAGGATGGGGGCAGAATTGAATTTACATGAATGAAACTCAGATGGATGGATGGATGGATGATGGATGGATGGATGGATGAATGATGGATGGATGATGGGTGGATGATGGATGATGGATGGATGGATGGATGGATGATGGATGATGGATGGATGGATGGATGGATGATGGATGGATGATGGATGGATGGATGATGGATGATGGATGGATGGAT